GACTCACTGCACTGTGGCCCTGATTTCTCAAAGCCTGGTCTTCTGACCAACAGCCCCAGCCACTGCTTAGAGCTTGCTGAAAGTGCAGAGCATCAGACTCAGCTGGATTCTGCATGTTTACAAAGCTCTGGAGATTGGTGTACAGGATGGACTGGAATAACAGGGCTCCAAGGCAGGGGTAGCCAATTAACCCCCATGGTCTATTTATGTGAACGCCACTTCCCTGGAGCTGAGCCACACCCATTTGTTTATATATTGTTTACAGCAAACCTGAGTCATCCGGACAGAGTCTGAAATATTTATCATCTGCCCATTTGCAGGAAAGTCTGTAATGCTTCTCCCCTTGCAGTCCTCAAAGCTTTAAAACTCCTTCTGCCCAGCTGTGCCACCACCCATGCGGTCAGAATGGCAGGGAGTGAGTGAGTGGATTGAGACCAACTGTCCCAATGTCAGCAATGGTTGGAACTTCGCCAGTGTATTAAATGCACAGCTGAACTTCAGAGCCACTGCCCTAACAGGATAAAGAGAAAAATGTGGATGGGGGTGTGGTGAAAAAATAACTGTTATGATGAAGATGGTCTTTGTGGGTATTAAAAAATGAAAACAATGACAAAAAGACTGATACCTGGGACCAAATAACAAATTTTGAATATAGAAAAAAATCACCTTAATTTCAGACTTAGAAAAAATAACTTTAAGCAAAATTAAAAGAGTGATGAGCTATGGGAGATAATGTATAGTCTTTATTATTGAGAACAGCTAGAATAGATTATAAGGTAAGGTGAATATACAGGTAAACTGGCAAAGGCCATTATAAAGGTCTTTAAGGATGAAAAGAAAATGACTCCATTAGATGAAAAAATAATTAACTTATTTGTTAACATAAAAAAGCAGAATAAAGCAACGAGCTCTTATTTGAGGCCTATCCAAATGGAACTTCATTTTCCTTCCCTCCCTCCTTTTCTACCTTCTTTCTTTTCTTTTCTTCCTTCCTCTGGTATCAGTACTCAATACAGTAGAAGTGGGCCGGGCGTGGTGGCGCATGCCTGTAATCCCAGCATTTGGGAGGCTGAGGCAGGAGGATCACTGTGAGTTTAAGACCAGCCTGGGCTACACAGTGAGTTCCAGGTCAGTCTCACTACATAATGAGACCCTGTCTCAACCCCCCCCCCAAAAAAAATACAGTTAGAAGTGTGGGCAAAAGGTACATTTACTTATTAATGGAAAGACATTGTTAGGGCAGTTTGATAAGATGTATCTTACATCTTAAAAGTGCTCACGATATAGTTTGGATCAGAATGTCCCCCAAGGCCCGTGTGTTAAAGACTCGGTCCTCAGCTTTGTGCTCTTGGAAGATGGTGGAACCTTTAAGAGGCGTGGCCCAGAGGTCATTGGGGGGTGTGTTCTTGAAGTAGATTCTGGGACACTTCCTATCTCTCTGACCCCTGGCTGTCTTGAAGTAGCCCTGTTTCCTCTACCATATCCTCCGTGCTGTGATGCACTATGCCCACTATAGGCCCAATGCAGTAGGGCTGAGCAACCGAGACAGTTCTTCTGAAACTGTAAGACAAAATAAACTTTATTCTCTGTTAAGTTGATTATGTGTTTTATAACAGTGACAGAAAGTTGACTAACACAGTTCCCTTGAATGTGGTGTTTGCTACTGGAACAGACTGTCCAAGGTCTACGCTGAGCAGGAGCTATGAACTTATAGGCTCTGCTGGACACACTCTCTCGTCTGTTTATCCTTAGCTGTTTTCTTCTGCTGGATGTCATAAAAAGAAAGGTTTTGGCATATAGTAAGGAGTTAAAAAAACAGTAAATGGCCAGTAATGAATTTATATGATCGTCAACTTTATTAGTTCACAGCAATTTAAGATAACAGTAAAAAAGATATACACCAGGCTTGTGTGTAGGGTGTGTGTGTGTGTGTGTGTGTGTTGTATTCAGGTTGTGCCAACTTTCTCAATAAATACAGAGCACTTGAAGTATTTTAAAAAATTATTAGATGATATTCTAGAGAACACAGAGAGAAGTTTAGTGTAAAGAACTCCTGAGGCCATCTGGGCCCAGTACCTGTTGGGGGACAGTGGGTGTGATTCTGGGCCTCTGGGTACAGATTACATATTGTGTACAATCCCTTCTTTTGTAATTCTGGCATAATTTTGCAGTTTCGTAGAAAATAATTTTATTTCAGAGATTCTGTGGAGTCAGTAACAAGGAGAAATATTATAAGGGCAAAGAAGATGAATAATTTGCCAGGTGGGTGTTTCCCTCCCCTCCTCTCCTTTTTGCTGGCCTCCTTTTGTGGACTGGGTGGGGCTGGACACAGTATCCTGGGCCCGGATGCAGCAGTGGTCTTCCCTGTGTAGACCGCTTCTTTCTTCCTAAGTGTGTGAGCCCTGAGCCCTGACCCCTGCGGTGGCTTCACAGAGCTCACTTGGTAAGGATGTAGTCTCAGGATTCCGGATGCTGCTTCTGCAACCTTCAACTGTCTGCCACGTCATTATTTCTCAAAACTCCCATTAATTCCTTGTGTTCAAACAAGAATTTGTTAAGCACCCACCTCATTTCAGACAGTGAGCCGGGAGAAAGGCAGCCATGAACAATACAATCCTGATACTTTCTTGTATCGTTTAGTTGATTTTTCAGGCTTGAAATTTGAGTAAAATGTTGGCTACTCCTTGGCATTGGCCTCTGAGAGCGAATCGTTCGTGTTACCTTTTACTCCTGAGGCATAGTTTCATATCTAAGAAGTTCTTTTCTTTTATGTTTGAATCATTGCCCAGAATTCAGGTGTTTTTGTCCTTCCCTTCGGAGCTCATTGTATTCATGATTTGGCTCTCTGTGATCTGCCCCCCATCTCTGTTTTCTTGAGTTTCATCTCTTTTGCTTATTTCCTCTGCTTTCTGAGAAGACATCTAAATACTGTGCCGTGTCCCAGCTCACTTTTCAGCAGCGTTGTGTCTGCCTTTCATCACCTGGGTGAAGACTATGTTTTTTGGCTCCCAAGCCTTCTTCATTTCATCAACAACTTTCTCATCTCTGTATTTTTCTGGTTTAATAAAAGTTATATAAATACGACTTCACACAGAAGATAAAGGTTTTTCAGGAAAAGAAAAAAACTTCTGTTCACAGTGAATCAAGCCTTTGCAGATGATAAGTATTCCTTCTGAGCCATTATCATTTTCTCCCTCTTTCTTTGTATTATCAGATGCTCTCTGTCTCCACCTCTCAGGATTTATGTTAATTTTTCCTTATTACCAGAGCAGTTCCACCCTGCCAGCTAGGGTACTCCTTCTACAAGTAGGAAGGAACCAGGCGTCAGCTCCGACCCAGAGGTTCCAGGGAATCCTCCTATGAAGGAGTGGAATAAAACCTCCCCCACCTCAGGCATAGGGGTGCCTGTCCATTCAATCCCCTTGCACTGATGCACCATGTTTGGCACTTGGGACGATTAATAAAAGGCTTTGGAAAATATGCAAAAGACAGTCCCCTTGGAAGTGGGCGTGATGTTTGTTCACAGTGTCTCAAAGCTGGAGTAGCCAGCATTTTGTAAATAATTCTCCCGAGGGGTTGTCAAAGTCTTAAACTCTGTGACTAACTCAGGTTTTTAATAGAATTTCTTTTGGCTATTAAAACTTTTGGCTAATGTAAACCAGTTTAACATTATGGAAATCGGTGTGGAGATTCCTCAAAAAACTAAGCTAGACATTTCATTTAACCTAGCTGTTCCTCTTCTAGGTATCTGCCTGAAAGAGTCAAAGACATCACCTCACAGTGATGTGTGCACACCCATGTTTAGAGCACCACAATTCATATAGCTAACTCTTGGAAGCAGCCTATGTGTCCATCAACAGATGCTTGGGTAAAGAAAACGAAGCATTCACATACACTGGAGTACTACGCTGCCGTAAAGAAGGACACACTTGAGTCATTTGTAGGAAAAATGGATGCACTTTGAAACCATAATGTTGTGAAATAAATCAGATACAGAAGCTCAAATAGTGCATGGTTTCTCCTTGATGGGAATCCTCAAATATAGATACAGGGCAAAATAAAAGATAGGCCATAGGAAATAGGGTTATAGATCTTTTGCAAAAGGGAAGGGGACCAAGAGATGGGGCGAGGGGAGAGAGGGGAAGGAAAGGAGATGAAAAAATGAAATGAAGATGTGTTATACACGTGTACTTGGTCCCAGTGAGGAATGTAATCATTACGTACTGAAAACATGGACTAACAGAAAAAGAAATAAATAAAAACCGAAAAAAGCATAATAGTAATCTGCACTTTCGAAACTTCTGTTTTCCTTCTCTGTCTCTCTTCTCTCTCTTCTGCCACCTAGAGACACGCTTTCTTCTGCTCAAGGGGAGCTGCAGTTTAGAAAGAGCACACATTTGTCTTGACATTAGTAAATGTGCAGTTATTTATACTGTGAATTCTAAAGTTGTAGGGAATGGTGTCTTACTGGTCTGGATTTTTTTTTTTTTTGATTGGGACAAAAACGTAACACAGCAGGCCATGCACTCGATTTTATCGGGAGTATGAAACTGAAGATAAAAAAAAAAATTCATCAAAGACATAGGGGAATCCGATTTATTCTTAATCTGCTTTAGGCACAAGGGTTACCCTGAGCCTTCACAATTCCTAGTGTTTTTCAGAGGCTAAATCCTGTCAGACCACTGGGGTGACTTCAAAACGGTGATTCAGTCAGAGCCAGGCAAGGGAGAAGAAGACCTCCCCAACCAGGCCCTCTAGCCGGTCCTTCCCCTTCCCTAGTTCCAAACTGACCACTTTTCCTGACAGCGACAGTTTACCAGCTGACATTAACCCACACAAGAATCAGAAAGAAGGAACATGTGCAAGGTAGCCAACAGCTCATCTTGAGCCAGGAAGTCCTTTCTGTCAAGCCCGGGCAGCCAGGGCGACCCGGATGGACGGACTGTGAACACCACAACCACGCCCTGAGAGTAACACGTCTGTTTCATTTCTCTTTCCAGGTTTGAGATTTTTAAGAGCCCTCAGGCTGATACAGTTTTCAGAAATTTTGCAGTTTCTGAATATCCTTAAAACAAGGTAAGATGTTCTTTCTCCTAGTTTTCTCTTCTCTCCAGTCCCCAGTACCAAGTTGTAAATGTCAGGTAGGTTTGCTTCCACTGAAGTCAAATTAGTTGTAGTTATTCACGGGACTAGCACAGGGTTCGTGCTGATCTCTTCCCCTCCCCAGGGCAGGGAACTTTATGGTAAAAAGAGGGGAGGAGGCTGTGTGTGTGAGGAGGTAGGAACAGTTTTGCGGGCCGCATGGCTGCTGTCTGGATACTGAGCCAGGTGTCCCGGAGAGAGCTGCACAGTGGATGAGGGATAGATTTGCTCATTGATTGGGGAGCCCTCTCTGCCAGGTCCTAAATTGTCCCTTTATTATACTGCTAAATAAGAAATTGAACTTGGTCATAAAGGCAGGAGAGGCACTGCTCTTTGAGAGGCAATCACAGAGCTTGTACAGCAAACAAAATCATTTCATTTCCAAGTGCATTTCCGATGTTCACTCTATATCTGTGAAACCCCGGGGGCTTACTCTGTGAATTGCCTTTCATGCGGGGGGGAACCCCTAAAACCTCCAGCTGAATGCACCATGGCTACTTGTGTTAACTGTGTTATGATCTGGAAAACACAGCTGGACCCAGAGCCGAGTCCCCCCAAGGTTCCTGTGCCTGATGACCTGTCGGTGCGCAGAGCTGGCCTGGAACCAGGGCTGGGTTGATGAATAAACTAATAAAAGAGGTTCAACGTCCTCTAATGGAGAATAAGCACCGCTCGTAAATCTCTCTTCCAGGAAATTACACTTTAAGAAGCTCCCTTCTAATGTCCCGTTTCCTCTTTGGTTGGCCTTAATGTGTTTGATAAACGGTTGAAAACAGGACACCTCTGTAGTTAGTGATATATAATTCATGCCTGGCATTCCTGAGGCCTGGAGTTCAGCGTTCCTTTCCCATTAATGAAGGCTGTGGCCCAAGTTTCCCGAATCTGACACACTCAACAAAGTCAACCAACTGTTGATACTCTCCTCTGAGTGTCAGTATTTTTATGTATCTTGGTCTTAATTCCAAAGTGGCCTCTCCCAACTATTCATCTGTGTAAATGTGAGATAAAATCCACTTTCCATTAGCCAAGTTAAAAAGAGCCACTGATGCCTTTTACAACATATCCATTTACATTTCACTATCCTGAGGTAAGAATTTATTGGTTCTGTTAGTCTGTGATAATATTCGTGGAGTATGAATATTGTTATCCCTTTTATTTTCATCTGAGCAACAATGGCCTTGATTTCTACCTTTTCATGGCTCTTCTATACAAATTATATTACTTTTGAAGTCTAAATCAATGATCAACAGAGCTGGCATCAGCAATATTTACCATATCATGCTTGTACCGGCAGACAGTATTTTTTAAGGCAGAATCAGTGCCTGTGCCGTAATAAGCATGGGGTTCTGTCCTTAGATACCATTTTTTTCTAGTGGGGATGATGTTATAGTGAACTATCTACTCTCTGCCTTGATAGAGGGTCTTTTTCTCTCTGTTTCACCTTTACCACATACATTTGCAGAATTTTTGTTCTCCGAAAGCAGCATTTTAAAAATGGTCCAGTACTCTGAGGAACAAGGTGAAGAGAATTGTGTTCTCACCCTTCTTGGTTTACTCCATGGACCCTTTTGGGATTGCAGAGAATGATAGTGTATTAGCCAGTGTTCCCATTGCTGAATACCAGACACCCACAAGAAGGAAGGGAGGTTTAAATTGGCTCAAGTTTTAAGAGGGTTCAGTCCAAGGTCAGCTGGCTCTAAGGCAAAAACATGGCAGAAGGGCGGGGCGGAGGAAAGACACTTAGTCATGGTGGCTGGAAAGGAGAGTAGGGGAGCAGTGCCCGGATGAAGGGCGAGACCAGACATAGACCCCAAGGCCATACCTCTGTGACTCACACAGACACACCCAGACGTCTGCCCCAGCAGTCCCCAAGGTGGATCCCAAAGCCGGTCACAATTGGCCCTCTGAATATCTTTTTCTTACTTTTAGTTGGGACACTCACCTGTTTCCCATTCCTTAGCAGAGGTTTCTTTCTTTCCTTTGGATGCTGGTGGTAGCTCTAGCTTCCCTGGAGCTCAGTCACCTGGAAATCCTGTAGCTGTGGTGCTTCGTGTTCTCAGTGCAGACGGGGGAATGTGGAAACGGGATGGGGTGACTGTCCGGGGGTAGAACAGCCCTCAGGAAGAGTCACAGGGTAGCAGGCTGTTAGGCATTTGCCTACTGGTCTCTAAACAGCATTTTTCTAGCACCCCAGACAATTAAATTTCTATTTATTGTTAGGTGATGCTTTTCCTCACAGCCCCACTACTTGGATGTTCTGTGTCCCTGTCATTTGTAACATGATTGGGTGAGTCTCACAAGCCAAAAGGGAGCCCCTTACACACCAGCAGAGAAGTGGGTATAAAGATGGAGGGCTATGAGGCAGAGAGATCACAGCCAGCGTGCCCAGCTGTTCAGCGGGTGCTAAGACTGGAGGTGCTGGGGCACAGAGGAGAGTCCCCAAGCCAGGCTGGCATGAGTGTGGGACAGGCAAGGAGAAGGGGGTGTCCTAGGCAAGCTGGGTTTAAGCCTCGGTGTCTGTCGTCCTAGGGGGAGGTGAGCGGTGTGGAGGGTGGGGCTGGCTTTCAATCAGGGAGGCTGTGGGGGCCCGCAGGTGAGAGAACATGGCCCTCGTGGGACCTTTGAGTCATCCTGTACTCCTGAGAGTTCTGTGGTGGAGGAAAGGAGGAAGAGGGAGGGGTATGGACAAAGGCCAGGTGACCAGCACAGATGAAAACTCCATTGAGTTGTGAGAACTCTGTTAGTCTCAGGACAAATCTTGGAATCCCTGATGTCTCCCAGTGTCTGGCTAATCTCAGCTCCTTCCTTCTGCGCACCCCCAAGCACAGACCCAGGGCGCCGCCCCCAGACTGGATGCCCTGACTTTTATAGTTTTGTGGTCATGGAGGGATTCTCCTGTGACTCCTTTATCCTCTGCTGCTTTCACGGTGACTTTCCACAATGCTGCATAGAGCTGCATCATCATCTTTAGGGAGATTTCGTCCAGCTTTCTCCGGCTGCAAATCCCTGCCAATCTGAGGTATTAGGTAGGGATGGAGGATTTGCAAATGTGATTTGAAATAATGATTTGAAATTGCTGTTTCAGTTTCTGTTCTTTGGCTTCCTCGTTCAGCCAAGAGCTGGAAGAAACAGGGCAAAGATGTAGGAGGAGGGTGGGGAGTGGCAGAGAAGGAAGAGGACAACAGAAGAGAAACCCAAATGAACAGAACAATGGAGATACGTTGCACTTACGCGATCAGGATAGTCTCTCCAAACTGTAGCCCAACAGAAGGCCACGCATACTCTATATTCTGGATGTGGTCTATTTCGGGGTAGCTCAGAGACTCTGTGTTGTTGTCTGAGCTTTTGGAAGGAAGTCCTTCAGTTACCCTACAGATTACTGGGCCAGGGTTTCCTGTTCTACAGCCAGGGAAATGTAAGTAGCTCTGCTTAAGAACGCCACACAGTTCCACATCTGTCCTAGTCACTTTTCTGTTGCTGAGACAAAATAGCCAACACTCAAAGTTAAAGGGGGAAAGGTTTATCTCAGCTTATAGTTTGTAGAGTTTTAGTCCATAGTTGTCTGGCTCCAGGGCACGGCGGCACGGCAGAGGGGCACTGCAGAAGAGAAACAGTCTATGGCATGGCCGGGCAGGTGGAAGGCAGCAAAGCAGCAAGCAGTGAACAGCAGGCAGCAGCGACAACATCAGCTCTCACTCTGTCCCTTATATTCCATCCAGGCTACCACCTTGGGGTGGATAGCACTCACACCCAGGGTGGGGCACCCTTAACCCCAGCATCATACCATTAATCCCAGCATCGCACACCTTACATCCCACCCCTCCGAAAAGCCCCACCTCTTGAGCGCATGGGGTGACGTGTAGCTATGCATGGCAATAACTTCTCACTGAATGTAGCCCATAGTGGTGATTGAAGGATGGGCCACTTCTACAAGGAAAGGCAGAGTAATACTGTGCCACTTCAGGGAAATCATTGCTATCTTCCATGTCATCTCTGCCTCCCATATAACATATATAGGTGCCATCACTTACCCGACTAATATATTTTGGGGGAGGGACTTTGGAGATTCAGACTTTATATGACCTTAGACATGGCTCCAAGGTAAATTGGGTGAAGAATGGTATTCGCTATGGAAACAGCAAGGTGCCTGAGGTACAGGCCCAATTATGAAAGTGCTTAGCTTGGTGGGTTTTACTGAGAGCAAGAGAGAGCAGCCGTTGAAGGATTTTAATCAGTAGAGGAAATGCGGTGAGACCCGCACTCTTGAAAGATCCACTATTTTACCTATTCTAGAGAAAGTAGGTTTGAAGGGGCTCTGGCCTCACAGACCATAAGACCAGACAGGCGGCATTAGTCCAGGAGAGAGGTATTAGGGAAAGTCTGGGTGGTGTAGGTTGGGATGGAGAAAGGAGAAGGGAGCTGGAGACAGCTAATAGGTAGAATTAACAGAATTTGACTTTGCTTCACCCCGTGTCTTACCGCTGAACCCTTTCTCGGTGTGGGGCGGTTCCAGTTCACTTCAGGGTTGGGCTATTTTGCATCCATCCAACAAACATAGCAGTAAAACAAAATAAACCAGCACCTGGCTGTCTTCTTAGCCAGAAATAAAGGTGAAGATTAGAGACAGGGACACATTTATGCTTTCTTGTGCGAAGCAGCCGACATTTCACTGTCATCAGAAACACGTCCTGTTGGATATACAAGAGGCAAAACATGGCACAAGATGGCTGTTCAAACCTCTGGGTTTGCAGCCACAACCGCAGGAGTCAGACTCTCTTTCTGACCTACCAGATTCCCGGGTCTACCTTTGGACCCTTCCCCGTGTCCAGCAATGAGAGTTACTCTCATAGCCAGCGGGAGCTCTTGCAATGGGAATCAGAACCTGTCAGGAAATAAGAGAAGGATATTTTTTTAGTTGGGTCAGGTTTTTAATCATTAGAGCACAATCCTTCTGTCCCTAGAGGCCTAGAGGGGGACTAGAATCTGAATGGTTCTGGTTGTTCTAACCACAGACAACCCCAGGTGCTCTTTCGTCGCAAGAGGACACAGTCCTGCTCTGGGCCACCCATCCCTCCTTCCAAGGAGCTCTCTTCAAGCTAGCAGGGCCCATATTTGAGAAGATGGAGAAGGTCCACCGAGGGTTAACCTGTGCTTTGAGTACACAGCTTTCAGATGCTCGCTTGGTCATAGAGTTTAGTGTGGAAAGCAAATTACCAATATTGGGGATCTGCGATAACACTGATATCATAAGAATAATCAGATTTCAGCACTGAACATGGGCTATTTCAGCCACACCGATTAAGTGTTCTGCATGTAGCAAGAGCTCCTTTGAGCACCATCAATATCCCAGTAACAATCATTTAGAGATGACTGATCACCATATTTAGGTCATTTTTCTAAAACACCGAGAGCCTCTGAGACAACACAGACGCAGTATCTTGGAAGGAGTCCACATGGTTCTTGGTGACCCATGACTTGTTCTGGCCCCAAGGATTCAGGAGCAAGGAGGTGGAACTGTTTGGTGCTTCACTCTCCGCTGAGGAAATGAACAATCCATGCCTTCCTAAGAGCTCTCCCTTTGCCATTGTCTACTAAGGCTTCGTGGGTTTCTTAATTTCTAACACTAGGGCACACCTTGGAGGGCGAACCAGCTAGAGGTGGGGGCCACCTCTGCTGTGCTCTGTTGAGAAACTTACTGGGATCCAGATGAGGTGGGAACACGGGTTCAGCTCCTTGACTGTCAGTATTGCTTCCTGAGAGGGCTCCACAGGTGAATCTCTCTCATCTGTTTGCCTTACTTGCATGCTGCCCATCTCTGGTTCCAGGGCTGTCTTTTCAGAGAAAGGAGATTTTGGAAGCCAGTGAGGGGGCTCCTTGGCTGGCAAGGGTTGAATTATCTCTCAGCTCCAAGGAGAAGCTGAGATGAAAGATGCTAAGCATTATTTTTGTTACTTGGTGATTCCATTCATGGCTGTGGAAAACAGTTAGAAGTGAGGGTGGAGAGTAGCATGGCCCTTGGTGGTGCCTGGAGAAAGGGCTGAAGGTCAGGACTTAGCGATCTGTGCTTGGCCCTGCACTGCCGGCTTCAGACAGAGCCTCTGGGGCCAGGGACGGAATCACAGTGTCAGGCAACTGAGTGAGCTGATGAAGACAGCCCCAGACCTCCTCTGGGGACCTGATCGATTGTCATATCGTCAGGGAGCCTTTTGGATACCATCCACCTCTGTTGTGGGCAGGTGGGGTTTTGTTGCAAAGAACAGAATTCACTTTGGTTACGACAGGGTCTGAGAGGGAACTGGCCTGGCTGTGCGCAGGGATTTGGATTCTGTCCTGAGTATTCTGCCTCTTTCTGTGCCTCTTGGCTTTCATCTCGGAGAGCCTTGCGCTAGGGCAGATGATCTGCAAGAGCTCTCAGTTCATACTTTTGACAGCCACATCTGCAGAGAAAGACTCCACTACGGTGTTCCGAAGGTGTTCCTAGTAGGACCTCCGTAGATGGATGGGAAGAGCTTTCTAATTGAGTCATAGCCCCAGCAGGGCTGCAGTACTGACGGCTGGCTGCGGTGACACTTTCAGTGCTTCCACAGAACAGCCGTGGCAGAGGAGTCTGGGACGTCACAGGGCATTGGCTTGGAGTAGCAGAGCTGGGACATCTTGTGAGTCCATGGGAAGCTTTTGAGCAGCAAACTCATCAGTGTTCAAAGAGCTCTCCCCAGTGGGGCTGATCGGGGTGGAGCTGAGCAGAAGAGATCCAGTCACTCAGCACATGTTCCCAGGGGCCAGGGACCCACTGCCCTGGGGCCCACGAAGACACAGCCCCCATTCCCATAGAACTCAAAGTTCACTGGGTTCTGGCTGACCCATGAGGAACACGGGTTCTGGCACCGCTGGTTCAGAGGGTTGGGAAACTGGCTCAGGGGTGCCTCTCAGGGGCTCCCCCCAAGCTGCTGTGTGAACTACACTGGGAAATGGGTGCTTTGCAGTGGGGTGAGCTCCCATTCCCGTGTTAGCCAAGTGGACCCAGCATGGCTGGTATTGGGATTTCCGGATGTAAACCTATCTCGTCAGAGATCCCCAACAGGAATATGGACAAATTCAGGATGTGGAACGTTCTATATGACAGTCTGGGTTTGTGTGAAATTAAAAGCCACCAAAGACAAAGAAAGGGCAAGGGGTGTTAGTTATAAATTAAAAGAGGCAAATGCAGGGATTGACAAACTGTAGCTCATGGTCTAATTCAGACTGCTGTTTTTTTTTTGTTGTTGTTTTGTTTTTTGTGGTACCTGGATAGAACCCAGGGCTTTGGCACGGAGCTACATCCTAACTCACTTCATTTTGGAGACAGTGACTCTCTAAGTTGCCCAGGCTGGGCTCAAACTTGAGACCCTCCTGCCTCACCCTCCTAGAGTGCTGGAATTACAGGCACCACCGTGGCAAACTGATGCCTGTTTGTATTAAGTTTTGTTATAGCACAGACACACCCATTCTGTTACATGCTGTCCGAAGCTGCTTTTGAATTACAATAGCAGAACCCACTAGTTGCAACATAGACTGTATGACCCTCAGAGCCTAAAATATCAACTAACTGCCCCTATATGGAAAACGTTACCTGATCCCTGGACTAAAGCCATTTACCAGCCACATGCAGTGTGTGAACCTTGATTGTTCCTGGATGAGAGACGGGAAATGGAAACCCTTTCAGGGCGACGGCAGGTTAGACTGGTTACTGAATTGGCACTAATTTTCTCAGGGGTGACAATGACATTGTGATTACATTGCCCAGTGCCCTCTTAGGAATTGGATGCTGAAATATTTAGAGGCTGTGAGGTGGTGTGGTATCTACAACTTATGTGTAAATGTCCTGCCAGAAATTTAAAAATATATAAAAGAAGGAAAGTAAAACAGAAAACACTGCATAGAGATAAAGCAGATGTAGCAAAATGTTATAATTGTTCAATTTAGATCAATTTAGAAAAATGTCATAATGATTAACATAAAGGGGTTTATTATACTGTTCTTTGTATTTCTTTGTAGATTTGAGTTTTCAAAATAAGGCTTTTCCTCCTTCCTTCCTTCCTTCTTGTTTTAACAAAATTTGAGGCCCAGCTATAGTTTCCTGCAGTCTGTGCTGTGACCCTTTTTATGGGCGGGAGGGAAATAAAAATATATTTGCACATGGCATGATCCTAAACAAAGAAAATCCCAACAAATCAAAGCAAAACACTACTAGAGCGAATTAAAGTTATAGTTACTACCAGAACATAGCAAAGCTGTAGTTGTAAGATTAACACATAAAAGCAGTTGTTTTCACAGTCCACCGTGAAAAATCTGAAAAGAAATTAAGAAAACAATTACTAAAAATAAAAGATGCATGTTAAAAAAACAAAGAAAAAAGAAAAAGAAAACAATTGCTGCTTGTGAATTTGAGCCAGTCGGGGAATTGGTTCCCTTACTGTGGAGACGGCGGCCTCTCACCCACAGGGGGCGCTGTTCCTTGGGCAGGCGGCTCAACCCTTTGTAACGGGGCCTTCGCTTGTTGTCTCTTTTGCGCAGTAATTCCATCAAACTGGTGAATCTACTCTCCATATTTATCAGCACGTGGCTGACTGCAGCCGGCTTCATTCATTTGGTGAGTATCTTTGAAGACCCTGGAGCAAGCCCTTTGTTGAGTCCTTTTATTACTCGAAATTTCTCTTGCTGCAGAGAAACTTCAGCATAGTTGTAGACAGGAAAGGAGGGAAGCAACCGCACAAGTGTCTGGGTTTCCAGCCCTTTTACCCCAAACTACTAACGAATGGTTCCCACTCTAACCTGTGTACTGCAGTGGCGACTTTGGTGGATTTTTCAGCCCGTCTGCAGTGACCCTGGATGGCCACAAGATGGCAGTGCTTCCACGGCAAACGCTCAGGAAAGGTCCAGGGACAATGTTGGAAGTTTGACCTACATCTCTTTGTAAACAAATTCAGATCCCTCAATTTCTCTCTTCTCCCCCCTTACAAAAAGCTGCCTTTGATTCTTTCGCCTGATTACTTGTCAAGTTATTTCGTACTTCAAAAATTTTAATTCTTTTTATATTAATGACTCTTTGAAAGCCTTCTATTATTAAGTCAAGTTCTTCTCACCTCTCCAAGGCAGATTTGTTCACCCTGCTTTTAGAGAGCGTAGCTATTGTTGGAAGCGCATTTCCTACAAACATCGGCTGTTAAGAGTCGGAAAGAGCCTCGTCAAGCTATGTGACTTTGAATAAAGGTGACCCTCCCTCCTGGAGCCTCTATTTGCCTGACAGGTTAAAGGGTGCTCTCTCCTTACCTGCCACTTGGAATTTATGTGATTGTCCTGCAAAGGAAGACCGGCCCAGAAGGGGAGAGGGAGGTGTTGCAGCCACCAACTCACCCTTCACACCTTAATTCAGTAACCAGGGCCAAGTGTTCAAGTCCCAGATGTGAAGGATCCAGCTGTCATCAGTAAGATGGTCACCCCACGTCACTGCTATGCGAAGTCCCCTCCGTTTCACCGGGGAACCTACATGGAAAAGGCACTTGGAGGCCGAATATCCGTGTCTGAAGAAAGCCAGGTTCCGGGCACATTCTGCAGAGACTGGGCTGAAGGCCCAGGGGCTGGCTGTCCCCATGGGCCAAGGGGGACCCACAGCTAGCAGGTCTCCATGCTGAGGAACTGCGAACGGGCCTGGTCGCCCTCTGCTGGGAGGGTCTGAAGTATGACTGTGCCTGGCCCTGCTGGCAGATCACATGCGATGGCAAGACAGGAAAGGGTTCTGTGAAGTCTAACACAGCCACGGGCAAACTACAGCGGCCCAAGCTCGCCACATCCCGCCTCACCCTCGAGGCCTGCAGAGCTCACCTCACCCTTCTGACTTCCCATGGAAGCTGCAGAGCTGAGTGGTTGCTGCACTGTGGCCCACAGAGGAGAAACTGTTTACACTCTGGTCATTGAGAGAAAAAGCGTGCAGGCCCCTGGACTCCTCTAAAGGGTTCTGCAAGTGCAGATTGTTCCCCTGAGCTCACTCCCCGCTTTCAGAGAGCAGAATCATTGCGGGCCTTCTGCACAGCGGGCAGAACAGGGCCAGACTCAGAGGTGCTGCTTGGTGTGCGGCAGATCTGCAGGAGCAGCACCCGCCAGGCAGCCCCTTCATCACAGTGACGCACGGAGGTCCCTCTATGCAGGGTATAGGATTTCTGCAGGCAGTGGAGAGCCAGGCTCCCGGGCCAAGGAAAGGTTGGGGAAGGGCTCTCTGGCTCTTTTTCCAAGAGAAAGCTGTAAAATGGTTCCAGGGACAATGCCTAGTTTCTGCTGCTTTGCTTTGAAGAAAAACAAACAAGGGGCGTTTCCCCCATTCCTGGACAGAAGCAGCCCCCAGGATCCCACATCTCATGCTGGGAAGATGAGGTCCACAAGCGGGCCTGCCTGGGCGCTGGGCTTTCTGGCTCACTGTGTCTGCCGTGTCGCTATCCAGAGATGACCGTTGTCTTTTTTCTCCCCTCCTCTCTGACTTTAGGTGGAGAATTCAGGGGACCCATGGGAAAATTTCCAGAACAACCAGGCCCTCACGTACTGGGAATGTGTCTACTTACTCATGGTCACCATGTCCACTGTTGGTTATGGGGATGTTTATGCAAAAACCACCCTGGGGCGCCTCTTCATGGTCTTCTTCATCCTCGGCGGACTGGTAAAATCTCTTTATTATCATGTTCATTTTGATAGTCTTTAATATTTTCTGCGATCCACTTCCTTAAGGCTTTGAGTTTTTCACACTATGTGTCCGCCCCAGAAGCCAGTGACGGCCTTGGGTTGGCAGTCAGGTTAAGTAAACCCGAGCACGACCGTGGGGTCCCTGTGCGCCTTCTTGGTGCGTTGTGCCTGTTCTGTAGACCCAGTATACTGCCCTTGTGGGGACAGCCAGTTAGCTGGGAGCCAGCTTCATTATCTGAAGAAAGGGATGCTGTTTATAAGCGTGCTTGTCCCTTAGTAATGGAATTCATCATCTACTATTCTATAAGGACAGATGCTCTCACCTGAGCCTGGTAGATGCTGTCCATATTCTGTAGACAGTCTGCGGTTTCAAGAGCTCCCCCTTCCCTTTAAGACCCCTTCAATTTCCAACAAACACTGTGGCTGGTGCCTGTCCTAAATAGAGGGGTCCCCACATCAGAGGATGGAGATGCTTTGGCCTGAGAGTTCACCCCCATGTGCAAAGCGGGGCTCGGTCAGTAGCTCTTCAGCTCTGCAGCAACAGGTGGGACATTTTCCCTCCCTTTCTGTAAGCCAGAAAGTGTCACTATTTGCCTTACCGATGCATGCAGCTCCTTCTGCAGCACTAAGCCGTCTAGTATGGTTAATTCAAAGGGATTTCTGGCAACTCATTGACAGTTCAAAGTAGTTCACTTGAGGTTTAATTTTGGCTGTGTATGAGGTAAGTGGCTGGAGCCCCGATCGGCACACAGCGCCCGTGTGTGCATGCCACACACACATTTATACGAAAGGATGCATACACACCTCTCCGCTTTGTATGCACACGACTTCTACCTGTCAAAGAATGTGCATAAATGTGCGTGTGTGTGCATGAGCTGAAACGTTTCTGGAGTCTCTGCGAGGTCCTCATAGATCAGGGGACCCTGTTCCTCCAGCCACAGGATGATGTTTGTTGGACAAAACATGGCAGATGTGTGTCTCTCCCCCACCCGCTATCTTTTCCTTTTGTGTAATTTCCTACGTTCACCTTTCATGTTCTTTAGTGATTTTTTAAAAAAATGGAATAGTTTATTTTTTTAACCTTTTAGTGTTTAGTGTCTTTAGTCACTCACAAAGGCATCGATTCTCCTCTGAATTTTAATTAGGAATAAAAGTCTGCACAAAAATGCAAGTGTGAGTGTGTGTGCGTGTGTGTGTGTGTGTGTGTGTGTGTGTATGTGTGTGTGTGATTTCACCAGTATACAGCCCTTTTTACCTACTTTTCTTTAGGCAGGAGAGCTAGATGACAGCTTATTTCTTCCTGTCTCCTTTATATGTTTTCCTCGACTGTGATGTTTTTCTTTTTTTTCCAGGGGTCGAGGTTGGTTAATATTTGTTTTGTCCTGTGTGTTTTCAGGAACTTGCCCTTTTTTGTCCTTTTATTTATTTCTTTTATAATCCAGTATACTGCTATATACCTTTACAGGCCTAATCCTTCCGTGTTTTCAGATCTTAGCATCCCCCCTTCTGATAAGGTCACCCCCTTTCTTGGGCCTGTCTTTTTAGTCTCTCTTCTGTCTCCCTCTTTTCCTCAGGCCATGTTTGCCAGCTACGTCCCTGAAATCATAGAGTTAATAGGAAACCGCAAGAAATACGGGGGCTCCTATAGTGCGGTTAGTGGAAGAAAGTAAGTATGCCAAGAGGTTTTGCTGCCTCCCCTGTGGTAGAATCCTCTCTGCATGCCATTTTTTTTTTTGGCTCTTGTTTCTTTGTCTCATGCATGTAGGCAATGTTTGCCCGCTACGTGCCCGAAATTGCCGCTCTGATCCTGAACCGGAATAAATTCGGCGGGACTTTTAACAAACATGGAGGCAGAAAGTAAGTCAGTTGCACCAGACAAGATGTGGCTGAGTGACTTTCAAGAATCTCCGGGCGGTGACATTGACTCCTGCTCCCCACCCTCACCCGGGTGCTTCTGTGAGGGAAGGACCCACATTATTTGGGGAGGGGGAGCATGATTTCAGAGGAAACCCAGAAAGTTGTCATGCTCAGACCAGCTCCCTAGATCTCGCTGCCATCTATGATGCCCGAGTGACATCGTGGGTTCATCTCGAATGGCTGCGTACTGAGCTGGGACCATATTGTCCCTTCCGATCCCTAACACACCGCCCACCCTCATTCCGTCTTCACGTCAGCTGGTTACGTCGTCGTTCAGTTTGAGTCCCTCTGAGTAATGCGCGGCCATCCCGTGGTGGGTGTTGTGCAGCGATAACATGAGGCAAAACAAGCAGGGAGGTCAGGTAATCTTGCTTACTGGAAAGGCCTTGTGGTTGTCCGGGACCAGTTCTTCACAGACAGGAGGTCTGGATCATGTCTGCCTGGAACTCATTCCTTAGCTGAGATCCCTTCTGGGCAGGAAATACGGGATTTATGGTGTCACGATGTTGCAGGCTCTTCCTGATGGCTACTTGGCGTCCCAAGTGTGAGTGCTTTCTTCTTGGGAACTAATTCAGGTGCTCATATCACTTTGTCAAGAGCAGGATCAATGTATGGATCCGGTATCAACTGGAAGTTTCATCCCCAGCCGAGTGGCAGGACCTTCCCTTCCTGATCCTCTGCCAGAGCGTTGTCTCGTGAGAACAATGTTGGGGGGAGGTGGGATTGGCAGGGACCATCCTTCATACATTGATTTTTAAAACTTTTTGGGGATGCTCAGCTCTGTTTGGTATAATCTCCATGGAGTAAAATGTGCTCCTCTTGCCTGCGTAGCTGGAGCAATTGGCACCTGTGTATGCTCCAGCCACTACTGTCCTGGCATCCAGATCAAGATTTGGAAAACTGCCATGGTTTGTGGAGACTCCTGTCATGGAAGTGTTCCGATATTTTTCTTCTCATTTATCCTAAATCATTAGCTCGTTTTGTTTTTGTGAGAAAGATAAAACTCAAGTGGTAACCTCGTATTTCCCTCCCTCACCGCCCCCTCTTGCCCTGACAGGTGGCTGTGCTGGGTGGAGCGGACTCCCCCGCCCCTCTGGTCAGTGATTCCAAGGCATCCTGAGCTCAGGTGTCTGGTCCTCTGCTCAGAAAATGAGGAGGTGGAATACAGGGCTCATTTTCTGGAACTAGCCACAGGACACCCGTTTCCTCTGCAAGGCCGGGAGGACAGTGGGCTAGCAAGAAGAGGCCAGTTGGCACTGCGTCTGTGGAGGCGGCCTGTCCTTCCGACTTTCCCCAATTGGAGCCCTCCTCTCCCCATCATCTGAACAGCCCTGGATGAGGTTGGAACCAAGCTGTTCTGCTTTCTGGGCTGTCGGCTGGATCCAAAAGGCCAAATAAGCACAGCATTCCCCTCCAGTCATTTGTTGTGGGCCAGGAGGAAAGCAGCTCCTCCACTCGGTTTGCCTTTAAGATGTGGACAGGTTGCCCTAAAACAGATGGCACTGGGAGGGAGTCAACAAAAGCAATTGCTCTGAGGCCTAGGTTGGAAACATTTCTCGCCTCTCATTCCAGGTTGAAAATCCAGCCCCCCCCCATAGCATTCCTGGTCCAGTGTGGGTGGGCTGGTGGCTGGCAGATTTTGTTGATGGGTGGCCCTGGGACCACTGTCCTACCACACCAGCTTCACCACCTGCTGATAGCTTCAAATCACAGACTTCTTGCAGTTTTGTTCTGGCTCTGTAATCTTTTATCACCACTTTTAGCCTGGTCTCTCTCTCGCTCTCTCTCTCATTCTCTCTCTGCTTTTAACATTCTCTTTGGGTCTCCAATGTCCCCGACCCTGCGGACAGAAAGTCTGCCCTGTCATCCACACCGGGACTGTTCACTTTACTTTACGCATTGTTTCCTGGTTCAAAAGCTAATTACTAAGTAGTTTAAAGAAGCCCTTTGGTCACTTAGATCTTTCATCAGAAAATATAAGCTTGGGAAAGGAACGGTAATAAAGGGCCATTAGCACCCTTTGTTTGATGTTGTTTTTCCAGTCAGTAGAACAAGATTGATGAAATGTTATGTTTGGCCAAAATTTGAGTTTTCATTTGGAATTCAGTGTTGAGAGAATGGGCTGTCAGAATCAATAAGTTTTCTTTCGCTTGGGATATGGGCATGTGGTAGTAATTAGCAGTATAAGGTCTTTAGTTGAGCAACCAAGCATGGATTTTGGCAGCAAACATAATGAGAAACTACAGTTGTTCTATTTCTAATGTCAGAAAGTTTCCAGATAAAATTAAATGCATTTGCAAAAGGAAAGCAGCTAAACTTTGTTGAAAGTTCGAGTTCAGGCTCTTAAAATAGCGTGGCACTCCCAGTTTTTGTGTATGCAACGCTACGCTCTACCTGGGGACACACACGCATAAACTCCACTCCCTCGAATGAACCGAGTGAGTGCCCAGAAGGTAATTAGAACCTACACATAGTTCAGGGACTTGTGTACATATGCATATTTTATTCAAAAGTAACCTCTCTGATGATATATTAACTTGTCAGGGTAACTCATGATCTAAAACTACAGAGACGCAAGAGTTTGGAATTCAAAGATTATTTAAAATTATTTAAAATGGGCAAAAGTTAGGCAGAGAAGCACAGGATTTTATTTATACAATACTCAAATTCAGGATATTGGAGGATAAGAGCATTTGTTTGGCACTTCATTTCCAGTTTTAAGCAATGTGTTTAGCATACTGTAAATATTTTGCATAGCATCCCCCAAACACCTTTGCCATCCTTACCAGATCAAGGGTCCGAGGGTGCCTTGCTCCAGTGTTTTCTTCCCTTCCCACAGGACTTGCACAGCCAGCAGTAGGTGTGGACATGTGTGCGTGTGAGTGTGTGCTGGCTGTCATCAGCTGTTCTCCCTGTCATGTATTAAGGCTCCTAAAATAGGGACTTGGGTATCGACTCAGTGAGTGGCAGATGAAGACGATTTCTCCAAGTTGGTAGTATTGGAGACAGTTAGCTTCTTGGGCTAAGACCCTAAATTTTATTGAAAAGAGTAGCCCACCTGCAGACCAGCCCAGCTCCCAAAGCTATTGCCTCTGCTTCTTTTCCTTCCTGTAACATTAAAGCTGCCCAGAGGTGGGGGAGGCGTAGGCGGCAGTGAGGCTCCCATGGCCTTTGGATCCCCAGCTTCCCCTCCTTCCTCCCACAGCCCCTTCCGGTTCCCCCCAGAGGTTTCTTCTCTGAGCGTGATGAATTCCCTTCCCAGTTAGTTTATGAGAACTGACAAGATCATGGTCTGAGGTCGCATGGCCAAGGGCCATGGAAAATAATTGTCCACAGAGAGGAATCCATCTGCTGGAACCCCCTGGTTAGAGGCAGCCAGCTGGGGAGCCATCCAGACCTTATGTTTCCCAAGATGGGGCTTCAGTGGCCCCAAACTGAGGCTGACCTAGACCAGGTGTTTGGGACAGAGTGAACATGATGGGTTTGGACTGCTCTGCTGTGTTTTGGTAGCTAGGTGCTAAGAGGACACACAGAGAACAGTGGGTAATAAAAGAGAAGCAGTAGGCAGAAGAGGACAAGAGAGTGAAGGTGATCAACACAGACAAAAGGTCCCCAGGACAAGAATGTCACAGCCCCGTTCTGGTTTGGGGAATCCATATTGCAGACTAACCCATCACTTGCTCTAACTCCGGACCCCCCCTCGCCAGCTGCAAGTGCGAATGCTGTGCATAGGTTCATTACAAATACTACACCATTTTATGTAAGGTGGATGAGTAGTGCCAGTTTGGTGTTCGGGTGATCCTGGAGCTCTGAGGGTGCAGGGGGATCCCATGTCTTCTTCTCAGGCTCCTCTGACTAGTGAGGAGAGGGCCTTCTGTGTATTCTCTGTAGTTTTTATTATCAAGTCCCCGTTTAGCTAGGCCTTTCCTTTTTTCAAAAATATGCCATCTGTGTCACTCAGGCCCTCTCTTCTTCACTGAGCCCGTGCTCTGCCTGGTTCTCTCTTATCAAGATGGAATTTTACTTCATTTTCTGCCCCATATTCGTGTTTTGCCCACATTCTAAGTCCAAGGATTTAGAATTATAAAGGTTCTGTGGTATCAGAACATGGATTGTTTCCTCACAAAGACTCCCTTAATCTGCCCCCACTGTAGTCCACCCCACCTCAGAGACAGTTACCACGAGGCATGGTGGTGTGTCCATCTATCCACTTGTGTTTATAGTTTGCAGGGCACTGGGGACAGATAGATTTCTACACACCCATTCGGACTTCCAAATTTGCCTCAGCTTTTGCCCTTGGTCTACATTTTTATACTGTTTGGCTACCTAAGCATCTGGGAGGGTCAACCCCAGGGCTTATTTCATGAAACCACTGCTGGTTCCCAGAGGTGAGTCTTCCTCACTTCCTCAGTCCTTGCTCTTTCTGGGAAGGCCTGGCCTGTGCCACTCGGGAGTGGGAATCAGGCTGATTGATGTGGTGTTGACTTGGTCTGATACCGCAGGCCGGCTTTCTCTTTGCCTTCCTGTTTACGTGGGTCTCGGACAACACTCACTCACACTTCCCCCAGAGCGACAAGGGGCGGGACGCTCTGGAGAGGGGATGTTTCTTCTAAGATGTCGTTTACGATTTCTCTATGGTAGACAGGGCGCTGGCTGAAATGTGACCGAAGCTTTGCATTTTACACAATCTTTGATCCCTTGTCAAGGCAGGCATTCAGCTCTTTCGTCTCGGGGGCCCATGTGACTCCC